TCATGCTCGTCGCATATCACTGGACTTCCGCTCCCGTGGGAGAATCTTGTCAAAGAGCGAATCTGGAAGTCTAAATTCATCTACGGAGCAGGTTTGCCGCACATTGAAGGCTTACAGGAAAAAGCTGCACACCTCCACAGAGCCTCTCCACTCCCATAAAGAATTGGAACGAGAACTGGACCTAACACTTCGAGTCCTGGCTGCTCGGCCTAAAACTTGTGGAAATGTCGAGATCGAGACGGACAGCAGCGGAAAGGAAAATGACAGAAAGCAAAATTCCCTACAAAGTCCACATCGAATGCACTCGGCTCCTAGTTTGCGCCAAAACGGCGCTTATCAGCGCTCGAGAATTGTACGTTCTAATGATAATGGTGAAAATTCCAGCGAATAGCGGATTAGTTGGTTCCAGTGTCTTGCATTTCTCATGCATCTATTCGTCCTCTTTATTTCTTTCACCTTCGCCAGCACTCCTATTCTGGGTCCATCGCATAGTTTTGTTCGACATGGCATATCACCCTTTCTGCCCATTGCACAATGCTGTGATTCATTTTTCGGTCTTGCCGTTAGCTACGGGCAAAGCTCGATGGAGTTTGAGGTTGGATTTATCACAATCTTTTGCATCTTATTTATGGATATGTGGTCAACCAGACAGACACTGGAAGCAATTTACAACGAAGAATTTCCTAACTGGCCTCTGTGGTCCGGTCTTTCTGTGAACCTCTTCGAAGCCTAAGTATATAATCAAATTGTGAAGTTCCCCGTAGCGTAATATATAAGCGAGTTAACCTCAACCCGTAACTCACATAAGTTTGGCATAGTTTTGCCGCAACATTCTCAACAGCGCACCCCCATCATCCTTTACGAAACCAGCCAGCGTAAACGCAATCTCTCCCCATTTTCGACAGACCTCATCAGCTGAGGCAAGATACAAATCGACCGCTCTATTAAAAGCCATTGTTGCCAGCCATTTGAGCTCATCGCTTGGGTATATAAACACCACGTCTGCGTCTGCTGAGCTATCACGAGCTAGGACGATAGCTTGCTGAAGGACTGACTCTGCCAACGAGTAGACTTTTGCCTCTACGGCTATTTGAAACAAGCACCGTAGATACTGAGGGAGTTTCTGGTGGAAGGCCCCAGCACTGAAGGATGGGGAGGGCGAGAAGTGGAAGATGCAGATTATATCCTGTGCCTTTGTTAGATTTACTACTGACGCCGGACGAGGTCGCTTCACCTTGACAACCTGTGCGGTGTCCGGAGCTGGCGCCCCAGTGCGGAGGATGCAGTCTAGGAATACCGAACAGAGGTGGTCGTCAAGGATCTTGTTGGCTCTCTCGATTATGTCCGGGATTTCGTTCCATTGTTTGAGATTGATGGCTGCCTCGAAGTCCAGGGCGATCAGGAAGCGGTGCTTATGCATCCATGCCTCCCGTTCGGGTACGGTGTTGCATGTATCAAGTTGAGTTTTAATATGTGTTTCGAAGCGCTGGACGGATTGGCGGATTTGCTCGTAGGCCTAGGCATTGTCAGTCCGCTGTATCGCAAATAAATGGCTCGAAATAACGACCTTCGCTGATGAGGGAGCACGACCACGGGCCTCGGCTATCAATTTGTTGGATTTGACGTACTCACTAAGGAGATACATGAAGGCTCGGTCTTTGAATCCGGTCTTTTTATGGTATAGCTCTGTGAACTGTGCCGGTGTTAGGGGAATATAGCATCGTTCTCCGTGGCGAGGTTACCTTGAGGGATATGTCTAAGAGGTGTAGGACAGGCTCCGAAAGGCAACTTCTACGTATGTCAAGGGCTACGTTGTAGCTCTTCGTCGCAAAAAAATCTAGTTCACTGGCTGAGTAGAGTGGCAATCTCCCTTCGCTGTTGGCATGTTTCAAAGCTAATTCGGCTTAGTATTCGAGCTTCCTTTGTATTGCGCTGAAGCTCACCTTCCTCAAATGTTGATATTAGATGGGCTATTGAAGACGCATTGTCGCGGTCCTCTGACTCCAAGAGTTGAGAAAGCAAGATCATGCAACGAATTAGCTCAGTAACATTCGCCAAAAACAGGGTAACACATACTGGAACAGTGTTGAGGCGGGTACTTCCCCAGACGAATCGTTGTCCATGCCTGCTATAAGCCTCTGAAGACACTCAATCGTAAATCGGGTATTCCCCGAGCGACGAGCCTCTGCAGCACATGAAGAGAGATATATCTTTCCCTCTTGCCCTAACTCGCTCAACGCACTTAGACATGTTTGCCCTGGAGTTCGGTTAGATATTTGATAGTATATAACACTACGCAGACATACCAAGAGTATAGTCATCATCCCATGAAGCCACCCCATACAGCATGTACAACGTAGATGCTGAGGCTTTGCATTCTTCGAGGTGTCTAACAATGGCTTTATGCGCCTTAAGTTTGCTTGGATCGTCTCGGGAGCAGGAGATCAGCTTCCTGTCAGGACCATGTTGAGTATTCTCTCTGCAGAGGACGCTCCCGGGCCACAAGAATGCATACCTTAGAATTTTGCCTCTACTGTCCGAGGATATTTGGAATAGAGGCTGTTCGAGCAGGAATTCACAGCATCGCTCTGCGTGTGACATGTCTCCCATAGACATCGTTGCATCAATGTGCTTCCAGAACAGCTGCGTCCACAGTCAGCAATTGCAGGCGTATACAAGTTCTACATGGATTCACAATCAAGCAAACGTTGGTCTCCTCTTCGTTGAGAGGCTGTCGTCCAAAATCAACCAGACTTTGAGTCACATCTTTCAATACAGCGATGCAATCGAGGGCACAGGGATAATATTCGGTCAATGCCCAAACAAGGCTGATGAAGACGCGCCCTGTCCAACCTCTTTTGTCGGAAACAGTAAGCTTGTCACACAACAGCTGCTTGATCCTTTCTAGGAAAAACTGGGGTCTTCCTTGTCAATACCAGTATGCTAGAGAACAGTACGTGGGACCCTACCTGGATTCCTTGAGCTTATGGATGAAGTATAGGATACTGTTTCTCCTTTAGACGATGAGTATGCCAAATTAGGAAAAGAAACGTACGTCTTTAGATCAGCGTCGTTTAGCTTCAAAGCAGCAATGGCGCGTCGAAGGACTGAAAGACTGGATGAGTGTGGGAGACATGCAGGACATGGCTGTCTTCTTACTTTCAGCATATTCATCGTAGTCGGAAATATTCTCGTTACTGAGAATCTCGAGTTGAAGAACATGAGCTTCAAATGCATCATCATATTGCTGCAAACTGTCAACAGCGATATGATACATTTTTCTTCGTCTTACACTTTTCAAGCACACCACTGCTCTGTGAAGATCACGCTTTGCGTCTGCCGTGTCGAGCCGAATACTGACCCAGGCTGCAAGCCATCAGCTCACTCAAAAGTACCATTGCCTCATGGCAACTCACCGAGAGCAGTCAAAATCCGGAGCCTTTTATCCTTCAGGTCCGAATTGACTTGTTGGTTTTCATCCTGAAGAAGCTCGCTTGAGCTCAAAGCTCTTTCAAGCCATCGAGCTGCCACATCAAGCTGCCGACGTGAGATTGCCTGTGCCCCAACTTGATAGCAAATATCCATAACAGTCTCTTGATGTCCGCCTCGGCTCGCTTGCGGGACCTTGGAGAATAAATGCTCTGCAATATCGGATCTACCTTGCAGCCAGGACTATGTCATTAAAGTCAGCTACTGCGAACATCATGCGTGAAGTGCTCATTACCAAGTAGACCCGCAGCATGTAGTATTCCGTCATGTAGGCTTCGATTTTAGCTCTGTAGTGGTTACTCTGGTTTCTAGACATATCATTTAAGCGAGTAGCCGCTACACCAATGATCTTTTCGCTCAGATACAAAAGTCCTTGATCTGCATCCAATACCATCATCAGAGCTGAAACTTTGCAAGGGATAGATGAGACTCACCCATACAAGTACGCGCTGCTCTTAAAGCAAGCTCAAAGCTTCGGCCGTTTCCTAGGGAAAAGGCTTCAGAAACGGTCACCTATTCACGTAGGTGGACTCATACCTTGACTGTGGGTAGACGTGGCACAATCCAGCATTGCAAAAGCAAGAGCTTTCACTGCAATGGTCAGAACTGCTGCAGCTGAAGCAAGCTGTGAAGTTGTCAAACCTTTACTCAGTAGCCTCAGCGCGGAACTGTCGGCAGAAGCGCAAGTTGCCATTAGTTGCGTGCATGTATTCCATAGCTTCGTTCCTTCAGTATCCAACCGACGCCGTAAGGTTGATGAAGGTGCCGTTGTGAAAAAGGGCATATCGCCGAAATAGTTGTCAAGGAGTTCAACCGAAGTATCCGGCATCAGGGATTGTTCAGAGGGTCTTGCATTGGAGAGCCAAGTTTGTATTTGCGTAGCGAGCGCTGATGGACGACGAATAATTAGAGATCATGGATGGAGAGCATGGCAGATTATACCGTGGACTTACCTAGGATATTGAGTGATCGTTCTTCAAGATCCTTGGATGTCATTGTTCCCATACCACAACGGTTGCTACTGTGGTTGGACTGTTGGAACCTTGGCTGTGCTACTTGGATGATGAGAGCAGCGCTTCTACTGAGAAACTGGCGGTATATACTGAGTAGAAATCTAGAAAACTGCAGCTGCTGGGTGATATTATCAATTTCATGGCAAACTGGCGTTCACCTGACTGGACTAGCCCATAGTCAAAGGTCAAGACACATAGACATGAGAGCATAGGATACATAACCACTCCGACACGCAATTAAGACAATTCGTTCTTCGAAAGCTTTGGAGGATATGTAACAACTTTTTTTTTTTTTTCTGATAACCGTGCAAGCGTCACAGAAAGGATATCAAACAACGTTCTCTAGTAGCACTCATATGGACGGGCCCCAGAGCCATAAATGAAGAGAATGAGAAAAAGGACGACCGCGAGAACTATGTACCGGAATAGTTCGAATAACAAAGCCTGATTCTCCTAAATACGCCCGTAGATAGACCAATTTTCAATTTCAGATAACAATTATTTGCTTCTTCGTTGTGACGGTAGAAAGTTGCCAATTATGAGCGAAGGACTAGGTGTACTGTTAGCAAATTCTCAGGCATGCAACGGATGTTCGTGAGCACTCACATATTATGATTGTCCCTCCGAATTGTGAAAGAGAAGCAACACTGAATCCCATTCCCAGGATTATTCGAATTTGGATTCTTCAGTGTGCAGCTTGTGAGCATCGCCTTTTGAGTGTTGTCGAACGCAATAGCGCCAAATTTCTCCCAGTAGCTCACGAGCTGATCCTCAACAATGATCTCGTGGATTGCCAGCTTGCCATCTCGCAGACTCTCTATTGGCACGCCAATAAGTTCTGCCATCTCCTTGTTTCCGCGGAAGATCTCCCCCGTTCGCCTCCAGCAGCAGGCGGGAATCGCCATACTGGCAAAGACACGGTCATATTCCATCAGACTTCGTTCGAACCACATCTCCACGAGAATGAGTTCGATATCGGTCAGGCTTTGCATTCTCTCCCTGAATTTAGGTCGGAATTTGTCCAACTGACGCAGAATCTTCTGGCGAGATGACTGCTTCATGTTCTTTTCCATGTATTGGTTCAAGCGAGCGTAGCCTTTCACATAGTTAAAAGGTTTCAGAAGACCCGCATCGTATTTCGCTTTGAGAAGCTTGTTCATCCGCTCTTCAGGCGGGTCTGAACCTGAAGGGTCCGCCGCAGTCATGTAATAAGTCTCTCTAGCCTTATCGTTCACCACCGTGGAGCTTGGACCTTGGACGGAATCGTTCTGAGGCGGTTGACTCTGCGTTGGCTGAGGGGGCTGAACTTGCTGCAGTAAGGCCGTATTATCCAGATTGGCCATTGAATTGATCAACGTTGGATCGGAGTACATCCCTTGTAAATTATCATTTGGGAAGATTCCCCCGTCATCTAGAAGGCTGCTGCTGAGAAAGTCTCCCAGGAGGTTGTATTCGTTTGTGACTTCTGGGGCATTGAACATGTACGATGGGTGGAAAGTGTGCATATCTTGGAATTGGCTTTGTCCTCCGAGCCAGTCGTTGTAGCCCAGCACTGATTCTATCATTAGCACCTGTCAGAAAATACAGGCATTCGCCTTAGGACTTACGCTGTTGGGAGTTGGGGCCTATGCTGGTTTGCGCAGAGGAGGAGGGGATGTTGTTATGCTGCACAGCACTGACAGAGGAAGGGGGAAGGGCGATAGTTCCATCGGCAAGGATTTGCTGGCCGGCAGAATCTTGAACATCAACGTTTCGAGGCATGCTTTGAACATTTGAAAACTCATTGTTCGAATGACCCTCCTCTTCAGCAGTTGAATGCTCGTGTTCGCTCCGCGCCCGCTTTGAAGGCTCCCTGGGTTCGTCATGACACAAGTGACCTATGTTGCGCTTTATACACCGCGTGCACGGCCGCTCCTTTTTTTAACCCACGTAAAAAGTCAGCTAAAAACCTTTCGCAAAATAGAAGCCTGCGATACATTTCACGGAGGCAAGCTGAAGGAAATGGATCAGGAAGGTCGTACCGAATCGCAAGTCATATGCTGTGCCACATAAGGAAGTACCCTGCCGTTAGCAAATGAATTCTCGGAAAGTAGACTTTATAGTGACGATTGAGAGTCGCGACGCCGGAGAGCGTAGTGGATCATGAATGTACGGGGTCAGCAGGTAAGATGTGGGCTTACCGATCGTCGACAGTAGACGCATGCTGCAGAAGTGTTGGCACGGTGGTCAGCAACGTGGTCTAAGATGCGAACGCGGGGAGCGGCCGCTGCCAGAATCCTTGCAAGATGCATAACCAGGACAGTTTCTTACCATGATTAACTTTGCGACGCTTTTTGGGGCTGGAGTGAGTCCCCGCGCCGCTATTGTCAGCTTTCACCGGTGGTGAGGCAGTATTCTTTGAGCCCGACTCCATTCTGGACGAGTCGCCTTCCGCCATATTCAATTTGACATTCTCCATTGTACCATTACGCGGCTGTTCATCCGGGGCTGTGCCCGTCTGCGCGGCGCCGTTCTCCGTCATCGATCGCTTTGATCTGGCCGGGCGCAAAGCGGTTGCGCAAAGTTCGGCTCGCTGATGTCGCTGTTGGTGGTAGGAACACGAAGGAGCAAGTCCGATGGCGACCTGCAGACATCGAAGATCACGTTAGAGGAAGATAAATCAGACGCATTTGCAGAAGCAGATAGCAGGTGCCTAGCTGCGAGCTGAGGGGTGCGAGGACGACGAGCAATTGTGATCGCCTTATTGCTCAGATTTCCCCGCCGAGATGACTACTGACGGCCGGGCGGGCTGCCCGTCTTTTTTCCCGGGCTCCTCCGCACTTGGGGAAACCACCGCGGCGGAACCGTTCCTGCTTTCGGGATGTGGTGCCTCGGGCATGAGCCATTATTGCAGTCCATCTACCTATTATTATCAGCCATCAGCAAACGGAAGCTGCAGGGCCATGTGCTACAGGCTGCCTCGGTCTGAATCACGTTGTGTTACACAAACTTGGTACATACTAATAATTATCATTTGTACATATTTCGAAAGTGACAAAAACACTTTGGACTTTGGCAGGCCAAATGCTCTGTTCGGCTATTGAGAAACATGGGGTATCATAGGAATCCAAAGGCAAACCAACTATAACCAACAACATCTATCCCGTAGTCTGTATTGAGAATGCTCCCATCTGCTCGGTAGACTAAGGCTGTGGATGGACATTTTCATGCAACCACTGAATATCGTTGAAATTTGACATGATGTGCCGAGGTAGCTACACCCCATTTGGCGCTGTGTTAGGCGACGAAAGCATCTAGGTACAAAGTAGTACCTTCAATTGTACTTTATCGGATCTAAACCCTGCTATGGTCAGCTACTCGCATTTGGGCCCTCTCTGATCAGGTGAGGCCTGATTCTTCCGTTTCCGCTCATGCGCCAAAGCTGCTGTTGCACAACTGCAGATTGCATGCGAAGATCGGGCATGATCCTTGTGACGTGGACAAGTAGACAGGACGTTCTGAGGTGTCTTGAAGCATCAGTAACACCTGTTCGATTGGGTTTGCCACGAATTTAGGCTTGAAGTCAGTCTGTGGAATTGCTTCCTTTAAGCGCTCAAGGCCAGTTTGACGGTAAGAGACTCAGTCAATTTGGCTGTGGTAATATAGGCTGCTTCAGTCAGGGTGCACCAGGTGCTGAGAACAGACTGAGGGCTGCTTCCGACCGGGTGAGCGCGTCCTTCAGGCCAGTGAGAGGGGCGACGTTGTTCTGCATCGATTTCAGATGCCCGTTCAATTGATTCAACAAGCCTGAGATTTCCGGATCGTTGTCCAGCTAGAGATGGACGTCAGAAAAATGTCAGTCATTTGAAAAAAACATATTTGGTCCATACCTCGTCAAAACGTGATTGTGAGTCTTTTGCTTCCAGAATTGTAAAATGAGCCGCTTGGCCCTGAGTCTTGGGGATATCATCGAGCTGCCGTAGTGCCGGATGCTCCTTCAAAAGGATGAGCGACATAATCTATGACCGGAGCGTTTCAGGAGACTCACATTCTTCATCTGCCGTTTCCTTTCTGCTTCGGCTCGATTCGCGTTTTTCTCCATCTCTTGCAGTTGTTTTGTTTCTTTGGTCAATAAAGCCTCTTCCCTTTCAATTTCTGCCTTCAAGAGATCAATACTATCGGTCATAGTTGCTAAGCTAGATTCAAGAGATACCTGGACTCAACATCAGTATGGCACACACAATTCCACGAGAAATGACATACATGCTCATCCAACGCCGCTTCATAGTCAAACACCGATTCCTTGGTGACAGGAGGAAACGGCATTCGCGGAAGTCGCTTTCCGAGACTTGAAAATTGAATATGTCAGTCAATAATCACCATACGTCTTGCAATTCATGATCACAGGACAGATTCAGTGCTCAGCAATCAACATACTTCCTAACAACTGCCTGCACAGCCGCCTGCGCTTCGATGCGTTTTCGCTCATTCTGCTGCCGCATGATAACCGGTCGTTCAACCGCTCGAAACATATCACGAATCTTGTCTTGAACGGGCTCAGGGAGCGTTGTCCATTTCGACTTGATAGTCCGCTCGGAAACCTGCCGGACTTGGGGCTTCAGGTACGCGAAACGCTTGTTGCGCGCTGCATCGTCATGCGCGTCGCTTTCTCTGGAACGCTTTCCCGTTGGTGGCATTGCGCTGTTTTCTCAGCTCCTCAATTTAAACTCCGGAATATTTTAAATCGTGGATGATGGGATACAGAGAGAGTTTGTTATTTCATGTCTGCCAAGGAGGGCTCTTGGTTGGCCGCCAACAACGCGCTATGGTACTGTCACATGCTTAATCAGCTGAGGACTAACCATTGTTGAGCCAGTGTGCGGGGGCACAATCAACGGTCTGGAAACAATAATCGCCAGACCTATCTATGGAGTACCTCTCCTACATAGTATCTATTCCATAGCACGAGAATATCCTCTGAAGGAGAATGGCTCATGGTGTATTCCTCAATGGCTATTTTTTACAATATCGCAACAGGTATGAAGATATGTTGTTGCACCCAAACACTCTCACTGCGGAGATCGTCTGTTCTATATCTCTGAGCTATCAGCATAAACAATCGGTGCGTCCTCAGCGCACTCTCGACATATCGTTGATCAATGTATACACATTGGCCTGAGTCTGGTAGTATTTCATACGATATCGAGATATTTCAAGGGTATAATGCTATATACCAGGAATATAAATTAGAAGAAACAACATTATTGTGGCAGCAAGTGCAAATGATGCTGGTACCTGATTCCAGATCCGCTGGAAGGGAACGCCTGCGTTTTCCTCTGGCAATGGTGCACACTCTCAAATCGCTAAAACGCTTCAATATAGAGCAAGTCAAAAATAAAGACCATGTCTTGCAGGGATTAGAAATGAAAAGATATCGTCATCGCGTAACTGCCTTCGGTGATCATCGCGGCATCACTAAGCCGTTCATCGTCTTCAGTTCTGCTAGTTGTGCCTTGAGCATTTCGTTCCCTCGTAAAATATCCTCGAGCCAGTCAGCAGCCTGGGTGAGCATTGCGCTTTTGCTAAAGCCTCCGCCCTTCAGCCCAGGCACAAGTGTACACAAATCGTCAAAGCCTTGCCGAATGAGATTCCTGCGCTTTTGCTCTGACAAAATGTGATTGTTCCTCTTCTGTTCCTCTGAGAGATTCTCGCGGGCAGCTTTTCCTCCTTGCTGCAGCTTGGGTTTTCGGATTGTGTCAGTTGATGTTCGCCTTGGTTTGCCACTAGCTGAGCTCTTCGACCGTCTTGATCTTGGTCTCGTGCTATCTGCGTCAGAGTGTTCATCGTCTTCTTGCTTGATCGAAGTCCTTTGTCTTTTCTTTGGCTGCGAATAGTCATCTAGGGCGTTATTGTATTCTCGTTGTAGGCTGTTGAGCGGAACTGGCCCGCCGGAATCACCCCAATGAGAGTTGTAACCACCAGTTGTCCGCTCCGGGCTAGGAGCTCGAGTATTCGCAGCGCTGCTTTGAGGTTCAAGGCACTCCAAATTCCCGAGCAATTCCTTTGTCCGCTCTTCTTCATTCGGTTGATCAGGAGGCGCGATGTAACCTTGGTCCATAAAGCTAACATCAGAGCCCCAATGGAGTGGGCGTACCTTTGCTGATGCTTGCTGTTCGGCAGAAATCGGTTCCCGTACGTCAAATAGCATCTCCGAGGTATGAAAGCCAACAGGCAGACGCGTATGGGTAGCGCTTGGCTGTTTGGAAGATATGTGGTTGTTGGACTGCCGAGTCTTACCGTGACCGTTTGAAACAGAATGGTTGAAATTGAGATCTGGCATGGATGAGAATTGCTGCTGTCCGAACCCCGGGTTGATGTCGGACCCAGCCATCCCGTTCTGATAGAGCATGGAAGCTGCGGCGAATATGTCCGAGTTCGCGCCCTGATTATTTGGTACCATGCCAGATTTATCTATTCCTCGATGGGAAAGTGATGGTTGTCCAAGCGAAGTAGTGGAGCCTTCAAACGTAGGCGGCAGTTCAGTGGACCACTCGAAATTGACCGGATCGAGGATTTTATTGGGCTGGTTGCGCAGCCAAAAATCATCTGTGAAATGACTCGAGTTCATCGTAGTGAAGAAATTATCCAGCATGTTTGATTCATTGTCATCAAGAAGCGCAGGACCCGGAGGTGGCGCGGGTGCAGGTTCGTATGGGGTGTCCATAGGCGATAAAAACGAATCTAAGACGCAAAATCAGTTAGACAAATGGCAATAGAATGATTCCTCTCGAATCACATACATCCAAAGGGTCCGAGTTGAGCGTCATTCTGCCCAGAACGGGAGTTGGGATCTTTCATAGTCATTATAATGTGTAAAGGAGCGACGGATTGGAGGATTGTCGTGATAAAAGCGTCGAAAATGATTGCTGACTTGGTGATCTCAAGCAGGCCTGAGAGAGAGACAAGATGCGCATGCCTCGAATGGCCGTGATCTCGGATCGCAAACTAGATACAGCCAATACGGTAGCCTGCGGTTTAGAGGGTCCCAGAGTTTTCGAAGCAGCAAGAGTGGCTAGATACTGCGCCAAAGAAAGACCGAGTGTTGTCTGTTCAGATATTGTACGAAATATGATCAAAAGGTAGGAACGAGACTTGATCGCGGGGTACACAGTACGTTTAAAAACTGATAACAACGGGTATCATACAGATGATCAATAACACGACAAGATCGTTCCCCGCATTCGAATTCATGTGCAAAAAGAGGAAGATGCAGAAATATGACGATGGGAATCTGGAGACAGTCTCAGACAGGTACATAGTTTGGCGGAGAAGGCTGTCGGTCTTTTCGAGTCGATCACATGCAAAAATTCGTGCGCTCCAGAGGTCGCGTGACGTAACCATATTACCAAAATTACGCCTCTCTTCTGGGGATTTTCGTGTGTAGGTTGTTGTACCTTAGTAATTTACTGTCATGGATATCCTCGGAACAATTTCCCAGAGCAGAAAGAGCAGCGATGGCTTCCAAACTGTCATGGAACTGGTTTTTGAGCTGCTTCTCCCAAACTCACTCGCAAATTATGGGAAAGTTTGGTAGTGGCTGATTTTAGATCTCTTTGATCATTTGAATTCTAATGTTCCAAGACTAAGGCTTGGGAGACCTCAGCTTTGTGTTCCTGCTACGCCGTACTTACGGATGATCGTCGTCGGCCATTGCATCGCCTAGTCTTAGTTCTTACGTTTCTGCCCCTGAACCAGTCTTGAACCAGTGACTGCTGACAACTCCGGGGCAGTAATTGACTAGTCAAGCGGCTCAAGCCTATCAGTGTCTTTGAATTCCCTAAGTTCTAGTCTAAGGACCGAGGTCGAAATTGCCGTTGCACGGATCCACGGCAGATCATACGAAACATTGCTACATACGAACAGGAGTAGTGTCAACTACTGCTACTACTACCCCAGAATACTGTTCCTCACTGTACGGAACTTTTCTCGATACCGACAGCTTTACTCACGAGGAACCTAATATCCATGTCAGCATTCCATACTTGAGTTGCCTGTGTCTCTCGACCGGATTTCCTCTTTTCTGATTGGCAAGCTCGGTGTCCTGTCAAACAAACACTGAGCCTGATTGAGATTGAATTCATTATCATGATTGGTCCGAATTGTGAGAAATGAGAATCAGAACGAACTGAACAACATTTAGGCATCATGGATACTCCGATGCTTGCTCGTGGGAATAGGAGCAAGGCTCGGATCCTCCAGCCGTAAGTACGACAGAAACCTTCTGAAAATTGCCATTTATGGCATGGCATGGAGTAACTCTTCAACAACTTGGATTGGTGCTTGGCCATTTAGCAACGAATCACTGACCTCGCTCTGCTGTAGCATCCTGCGCGCGTATGCGATAGGTTATCTATCCTCAACAACACCAAGACTCGTATCGTGTTTAGGGCGACTGAAAGGTGATAGATTGAGCAACAAGGAGAAGCTCGAAGAAGTAGGTTATCCTTTTCCTGTCGTCAGTCTACGACGATTGCTCTACTCGTAGTTGATATCCCTTCAATCTTACTGGTCGTTGTGCCGGAGTCACCAAGCATAATCTGACGCTCACCGTGCAGTTGTCTCGGACATTGACAAGTGCTATCCGTTTGGACAGTTTTCCGACGTTCTGTGCACTTTTAGTTGCGGGCTCAACTGGCTTACCTGTTCTTCTTTTGCGACTTTGTGCGCTTGTCAGCAGTAGAATTGGTAAAATATCCGGCCTCATAAAGCCTCGGGGCTTTTTGCGGTTCGTCCGCTTCGTTGCTGCATTTGTTTCTGCCTGGTTTAGCTTTCAGCTGCTCAATCAGAAACCTATCAGACTCCAGAGCAGTGATGTTCTCTCGAGCCCAGGAACGGGTAACGGAGACCATGCTGGCCATAGTCCCGAAAAGAACATCACAGCTCAATACAGTCTTGATCTTGCCGGGAGGACTATGGACCTCACTCTTTTCACTTTCACTAGAGCAATGGATGTTCTTGTCTGTTTGGCATGGTCACGCTGGCGCGCTTTGCGGAGAAGTCAAAATCGCTGGTCTTTAGCTGAGTCTGTCGCTCCTGTGCTTGCTGACGCAGGACTTTTCGCTGCCAGCTCTGCTGTAGTAATGTGGGCATGGTTTTACCTCCCAGAAAGACTTCCGAGATCCTATGGGAAGTGGATTGGCGAGGTGGCAAAAGTGGACATTCGTCTCATTGAAGCGCTTCGACGGGCCAGGCGAGGGATATTCGTGTATGGAAAAGAGACTGGCCAGACACCTCTTCTTGAGTCTATGTGCGAGGATTACAACTGGCCTAGAGAGTGGGGAGACCCAAGCAAGACAGTTCCCATCCCCTGCGAAATGGTCCACATGGGTTGTGGTCCGAATTGCGAAAAACACGCTGCTTGGCGATTTGCTAGAACATTCAAATTCGCTTGCGCAACCTATATCCCGCTGCAAGTTGCCTTCCGTCTGCGATCAATGAAAACGATGTCGTCTCTGCGCCGGGCGCTGACTGATGCCCTGCGGTCATCTACCTTCCTTGCCTCATTTGTGAGCATTTTCTACTATTCTGTTTGCCTGGCCCGAACGAGGATTGGTCCAAAGATCTTTAGCCGGGAAACGGTAACACCACAGATGTGGGACTCTGGCCTCTGTGTCGGGGCCGGGTGTCTCATGTGCGGATGGAGTATATTGGTTGAAAGTGCGCGCAAACGACAGGAGATTGCGCTGTTCGTGGCACCGAGAGCCGCCGCAACTGTGTTACCCCGTTATTATGACAAGAAGGTACGGTTAATGAGCTTTGTTCACGTCACCTCGCTCGACTCGGGGATGGTTACATTTCCCCCTATCGTTCCATCCTGTTTTTACCATTTCTTCCCTTCCAGCAGACCACCAATTACTCAGAGTGTGCCATTAGTTACTAACATGATCCCAGTATCAATCCCGAGAGCGCGTCGCTTTTGCTCTCAGCGCTGCCATTCTTTTCACCTGCCTTCGTGAACGACCCAGCATGGTTAGAGGTGTTTTCGGGAAAATTGCAAAAAGCGTATTGAAGTGAGAGGAGAACACTGTACATTGCATCCATGGAGAGTGTCTGTTGTCGCTAATCGTTCCCTTTATCGATCGAAATTCTCCAGGAGAGAGTTCTTGTACATCAGTAATAGATGAGATATGAATAATAAACTCTGTAAGAAGTGATCATTTAGCTTGAGAGATATACCTGATTGACGATAACCCAAGTTCTACCATCGACCGTGAAGTATTTGGACTAGTAACTTTACATAGAAGACGACTCTTCCGTCCCAGTAAATGGCAAATGGCAACCTTCGAGAAACAAATCTATCTAAAGAAAGCTTCCAAGAAAGCTATTGGATTTGACATCTGTCATCATCAGGATGTGCTGCGGCACAGCCACCTTGCAGCCTAAAATCCGCAACGAGATAAACAGCGATCTGACCATCTCCAACCCATCAGACGTGATTTTATATGTCCAGAAGCTCATATCATCAACTTTTCCTTCAAATTTGAAACTCGATATGCCGCTTTGCGAGACCTGTGACTCTCTTGACTTTGAGCAAGACGATCTTACGGATTCTGGTATCCGATTAGGGCCGTTCAAAGACCTGCTTACGAGAGCCGAAAACGGCTGCGACGCATGCGAGTTCTTCTGCAACGTGTTGCAGACGTCTACTCGATGGACAACGAGGCTCGACGAGCTTGCCGAGCGAGTGATCTTTCTGGACAGTTCCCGCTTGGACGCGAGGAAGCCGACGAAGCTTGGTAACTGCACTTATTGTGCGGACGACTTGTGCCTGGACCAGTGCATTTCAGAGGATTCTGAGGGTGTGCAGATTTTATGCTGAAAGCGTCGATATTGAAAGGCTGATCTTTACAGGCCCACTAGACGAGGGGGTCGATCGTGTTCGTCGCATCCCCGTCGACCTAAGGGACGAGAAGTGCCTTAGTCTAGTTCAAGCTTGGACTGCTGAATGTGCGGCCCATCGTACCTGTTCCAAGCCCTTGCCTGTTAAACTGCCGGAGATTATCATTGAGATCCCAGCAGATCCTGCAGTTTCTTCCAGGCTGTGTTTGTCGAATGGTAGATCAGGGTCTTACGTGATTTTGAGCTACTGCTCCAGGGACTTCGAATCTTCGATTCAGCGAGAGTCGGGTAACTCCGTCTTCTCGACACCACTAGATGTGCCTTCCCTGCCCAAGACTTTGGCAGATGCGATAGTACTCGCACGCAAGCTAGGGTATCAATATATGTGGTCCCGAACCCTTTGCACTTCCAGAGAGGAATGGGGCACAGATCCGGCTCGAATTGCAGAAATATACGGTCAAGCGGCTTTGATGCTTTCAACGGAAATTGCGGAACACGCGGGCTCAGGGATTTTCCATGACAGACGGGTATTCTACTCTCCTGCGTTAGGTCGCAACAAAGACAAGTACCTTCGGCAGCGGCTCCTGCGATGGACGTCCGACATTGAGGAGTCATCGCTGGCGGGACGGGGGTGGGAGATTCTCGAAAGAATGCTGGCTCCGCGCATTTTACATGTCACGAGGCGTCAATTGATCTGGGAGTGTGCTTCCGGGTTCCAGTTTGAGGCCTCTGGAATTGTCGACAAAAAGACAGGCTCCGGGCAAATTCGACAACGCTACGTCAAGGGAGTCCTGCAGCCGTACATCGACAGGCCTTTCCAAGGTCAAACAAAGGAAGCAGGTGACGTCGCAGACGAGGTGACCATCGGCAAGCGAGTGGCACGGCTCGAGGCCTGGCATCGGTGTGTAGACGCCTTTTCAAAGGGATCAGTCAATGTGCCATCCGACAAACTACTCGCCATGGCTCCCCTCGCAGCTGTCATCGATGACGGCACTTTGGGCGACTATATCGCGGGCCTTTGGAGCAGTGACATCGCCTTCGGGCTTGGTTGGTCACGGCCTTACGGTGTCTTACGTCCAGCAATGGAGTACAGAGCTCCAAGCTGGAGCTGGGCCAGCGTAGACGGTACAGTGAGCTCGCATGCTCTGGCATGGCCCGAGGATCTACTGCAGGAGCATGCTAAGGACCCCTCCTGGCTGAAGCAATACCAGCCGATACTGGTATCTCACCACATTACTCTTGCCGATCCGCAACGCCCGTATGGCTACGTCCTGGACAGCTCCCACATCCTCGTGGAGGGTTCTTGCATTGGACTTAAGACACTTACCCGAAGACTACGCGGCAAAGAAGCCTTTGGCTTGACTTTGGTCCTAGATCAGTCACAGCTATTCGATTGTTCATGTTGCACTCCCAGGTCCGCAGATACCCAAAAGGCAGATCGGGACAAGTTCGGCAGCGATATCGAGCACTATTTCTGTATGGTTATACAAGGGGACGCATGGCGGGTAGAGGAAGGCTGGAATCCCCATCGTGGATTTTGCGATCTTCTCATTCTAAAACCTTTGGACGAAGCGGAGGTTCTCATGAGAGTAGGAGTCCTGCGGATTTCTGTTGGATCATCGACTGATCCGCATACGGCCTTTGATGCGCTGCCCTGGGAAAGACAGAAGTTGAAACTGGTCTGAAATACTGGTCCTCCGCAAGCCAGCAGTTCGCAATGACCAAGCTTTGCTAAGACCTTTCTCCTTTCCTACGACGAATAAGATTTCAGAATGAATATGGAGCACTCAATAGTTGACGTAGAGCCTAATGCATTATCCTCATGGGGGTCTTGAGGGTCATGTGGCTTGTACACAGTTTCTCGATCAAATTCTCACTTCAAAAGACAGGCTGGAAAACACCTGACGGCTCCGTGGCAAGAAATCCTGAGGACCGTTCATGAATTTTGACAATACCGCCGATCACACTCTGGTAAGAATTTCCAACTGGCCGGATTGCGCCAATTTGGTAATCGTCGTTATAAGTGCCATCCACGCCGGTGCGGACTCGCCAAACACCCTTGCCAGTCCTCCAGTCAAGCATGGCAGCATATTACTCCCCAAGGCCCTTCAGCGACAGGCCCACATCTTGCGCGAATAAGCGGGGAAAGAGTGGATTCGAAGGTCTTTTCTGCGCAGGCAATCCCCAAAGGAGCTACATCAGCAGCGACGTCCATGAAGCGACTCCGGGAGCCATTTGAGTCAGATTGTCAAAGTCACCGTTCAGACCCGCAGAATCAGCGTAGTACAATGGCGGTGAATTGTAGACATTGCACGGAAGTAGACCCTATCAGTCTCCGTTACCTTGGGCCAGCGGGGCGATGTCGACGTCACTTGCCCCGGCGTCGAAAATTGGCACGCGGCGAAGCATCTGTCCAGAGACTGATTGCGCTTCCTGATGATAGATAACCAAATTAAGTACTGATCTCTCAGCAGCGCTGGATTTGCTCCAGAGCCGTAGAAAAAGAGTCCGCTTTCTGGAGGTCGCCAGCCTCATACGGCATTGACCATAATTCATTGGTTGGGTTGAGATCCAGGACCCAACGCATACAAGTTATCAGTCGCATTGGCATGATTGCCGGTCCCGGATGAGCTTGTGGCGACATAGAAATTGGTCCCGCTGCCAGCTATACCGTTCTCGACCATTTTTGATTAAGGAGATGGCGTGCATGGATTATGCCTTTCCGTTCAATGCACCCAATCGTGGTGGGATTCTATTCGGGGTCTCCGTGCCCTCCCTGAGCTCACAGATCACTACTGTTGAACCACATATTACCCGCCGTATCATACATGCCGTTGGGAAGTAGCTCATCCCGTGCCAACACTGGAGGTCAAATTCACCATCTAGTTAGAGTTAAGCTGGGGCCGTCGCTCGTCACCGTAGTTGCACGATAAGATCTGGCCTTTCTCGAATGTGAGCACCACCTGGTCTCCATGAGTAGTTCCATGTAGGCCACATTCAGCATTTAGCCATTTGTCTTAGGGTACCGGGCACTTTTGAGAAAGTGCCTAACATACAGAGCGAACACACCCCGTATCGTGCATAGTGACACCTGCATCAAGGGCCGCTTTGCATTTTACTAAGCGTTGGGTCGGTCCGGATATATTGATCAAATCATCCAGACCATATTGGCAGAAGCATGCTGGTAGAGAAGGGTGTGGTTATTCCAGGAACACGGAGAGAGTCAAGCTCTGTTGATGTACATATATCTTTGAGGCCCAACGAGTGCTCAGCTTGACCAGGTCACTTCGAAACTTCCGTGGTCCGTCATACTGGACGGCAGATAAATTTTCTGCTTCCTTCTCTGACGGCTTGATCAGATATTTTTCGTTCTCCTGGGCGATATTGAGGTTTGCGAGTTGGGATGCATCGAGAGGTACCAATGTGGCTGGTGGACTGTTATATACTTCTTATCGATAAGAGGACAGAATCATGTGACATGATCTTCAATGTCAGCCCCATTTCTCAGACGGTACATTCGCCGATAGATCCGCAAAGCAACAAAATTGACAGTCATGTTTACTCGTACGCCCTTGCAATGGGCACATTTACGGTCGGCAGGGACTGGCCTACGTTCAGGGCGCTTGGACACGCGCTATTTTGACTTTGGAAAGAAGTTTTTCTCTCACAATTCGTTCTTGCGCCAGGATCTACACCAAAATGCCTCGTTTGCGCCTTTCAATACACCCCAGTCGCAGAAACGGAATGCATCCGTAATGTATGAATATTGATATGATATTCTTCTTACTAGCGACATGATTGACGACGTCTAGGTACTACACCGCGAGTCTTATTGTTGGAACCTTAGCGCTCGCTTATGGCTCCGTTCCTCTGTATAAAATGGTACGTGGAAGCCTTAATAATGGCTTGCTGGTCTCCGTCGAGACATGAACCTGAACAATCTCCCTTTGCAGATTTGTCAACAGACCGGCTGGAACGGTCAGCCAGTACTTACACACCGTGCCGGAGACGGCGACACCTCATCGCGCGTAACGCCAGTGACCGACGCTCGTCGTCTTCGAATCACCTTCAATGGTTCAGTGTCGGATGTCCTGCCTTGGAAGTTTACACCACAACAGCGTGAAGTCCGTGTGTTGCCCGGCGAGACGGCACTTGCTTTTTATACTGCGACAAATAAAGGCCCGACGGACATTATTGGTGTTGCAACGTACAGTGTTACCCCTGGTCAGGTCGCCCCATATTTCAGCAAGATCCAGTGCTTCTGCTTTGAAGAGCAGAAATTGAATGCTGGGGAGTCTGTTGATATGCCGGTGTTCTTCTTCATTGACCCGGACTTTGTGAAAGATCCGGCCATGAAGGGCATCGACACCATCACTTTGTCGTATACTTTCTTCAGTAAGAAACCATTGAGTTCAAAGGCTCGAAGTTGCATGGAACGCTGACTTTCTCATAGAAGCGAAGTATGACGACAATGGAGTTCTGAAACCGATACCGGCTGCTTAAAGCTCCAGAAAACCGACTTCATAATCCTCTCAGGACGCAGCGGCTCGCGTCGGCCTCGAGCCGTGATATACGGTTATCAGACCCATGTCTTGAAGCAACCTTTAAAGTCGAAATTCGGCCAACTCCCTCAATCCAGAGGCGTACACATCTCTTGACGTGGAGCTTGATTTGACTGAGTCTCTCCACATAGACAGCGTGTCTACGTCCACTACATCTAGATGGACAACGAATACTATCTCCTCTCTGGAAATGGGCGCTTTGGATATAAAAATATCAAGAAGCCCATCCTTCGGTGTATCATACAAACGCGTGTACTTGTACATATATATTTCAGGTTAGAACTAGCGTGTCTTCGAAGTAGATATGTGAAAAATTTCCTCCACATAAAATACCGAGCACCCTACCGGCTCGATTTCGAAACCGAGGACCGAATTGTTCATGTTAGTCTAGTGGAACTTCTGAACATGCAGCTTTACCCAGATCACGTGGGCCGTGCCATCAACAGTTCTCGGAGCTCTGGACAGGTGCGCACGGGCCACCAATTAAGCTCACGCGTCACGAATAAACGCGTATCGGCTCTAAACGATATACTCTGCAACGGCCATTGATCTGTCTTGTTACTATACTGGAGTTCGTATACAATTGCAGACCGAGGTGACAAGATGGCTCTTTTAGTGGATAGATTGCGACCTCGTTCGCTTGATTCTTTAACCTACCATCATGAGCTTTCCGCACGTCTAAAGTCATTGGTAAGATACGCCTGGGATTGCTGCTGAATGACGAACACATCATTGACTCTCTTCTTGAATCTCTGCAGGCTCAAAGTGGCGACTTTCCTCATCTCCTGATGTATGGGCCGTCGGGCGCAGGCAAGAAAACCCGTGTGATTGCGACACTGAAGGAGTTGTACGGCTCGGGAGTAGAGAAAATCAAGATTGACGCCAGAGTCTTCCAAACGACAAGCAATCGGAAACTTGAGTTCAATATCGTATCATCTGTCTACCATCTCGAGATTACCCCATCCGATGTTGGCAACTACGACCGAGTGGTCATCCAAGAGCTGCTCAAGGAGGTTGCGCAGACTCAACAGGTTGATTTATCTGCGAAACAACGGTTCAAGGTCGTTGTCATCAACGAGGCGGATCATTTGACTCGTGATGCGCAAGCGGCGTTGCGACGAACGATGGAGAAATACAGTCCCAACCTGAGACTGATCCTGCTGGCAAATAGCACGTCCAACATTATTGCTCCGATCCGTTCTCGAACCCTGCTGGTCAGGGTTGCCGCACCTACAGAAGAACAAATCTGCTCGGTATTACAGAACGCTGGTAAAAGGGAAGGCTGGCCGGAGGCCCCTGGACTCAACAAGAGAATAGCCAAGGAGAGCGATCGCAATCTTCGGCGAGCACTTCTCATGTTCGAGGCGATATATGCTCAGACGTGGGTACTCCGTACTGTTTGTGATTGCCGGTATATAACTAACAATGTTACTCAATCAGTGAGAAGGTCACGGACAACACGCCAATTCCCCCGCCTGACTGGGAAGCTCTTATCTCATTAATTGCAGACGAGATACTCGCTGAGCGGTCACCGGCCCGTTTGCTGCAGGTCCGCGCGCGGTTATATGATCTTCTCACCCACTGCATCCCACCTACGACGATCATTAAGGTTCGACTGCCGAACTCGTCCACGTCCGAAATGACTCATGCTAACAGATTCACAGACTCTGACTTTCAAGCTAGTTGCAAGGGTCGACGATGCATTGAAGCCGGATGTAATTAAATGGTCCGCATTCTACGAGCACAGAATCACTCAAGGAAGCGTAAGGGTCATCTGCCTAACCAACACGGGGAATATGCTTACACCGGGCACAGAAAGTGATTTTTCACCTAGAGGCATTCGTTGCCAAGTTTATGCGCATCTACGAAAGGTTGGATCCTCCATCTACCGCGCGACCACTTTGACCAATTGCTGACCAAATTTTCGCAGTTATTTGATGGGCATGGACTTCTAACATATCTTTTGCCATGACTAATGAATGTATAAAATGGACTATATCCCAGAAATGAGACGTATTGATTGCATTGATGGATTGACCCTTGTGATACCGGTTTGCATACTCTGAAATACCTAGTCCATAAATTGAGATGACTCGGTCAAAATCTCTTGCGCAGAGAACGGTGTCATTTCGTCAGTGCACAGCAGTAGACTTATTCTACATACCAAATCCGAATGAGATTTCCTCATGTTATGTGTCTTGCACGCTTGAAGATCTTTAGGAAAAGTGATCAAGTTGTAAGCATGAACTTGAGTGGACTCCGGGATGGTGTACGTCATACCTACCACGACCATATAAATTGAGTTGACCCGCCGAAGACAAAATAGATATCAGCAAACAATTGAAGCATCAATTACTATTCACTTAGCAAATTAGTTACCCTTTCTTCTTCAGAATCCTACTAGTCATGTCTAACCCCAACCTCTTGGACATTGAGCCCGGTGGAGAGAACACCCCGTACGTACTCCTGCAAGACTTGCAACTTATTTTCTTCGCGACATACATAGACTAACCTCGGGGACCAGGTATGAATCCATTCGATTATTTACAGAGACCCCGCACAAACAAACGGGACAGTTGGGTGGTACGCTAATGAGTCTCATGCCCATTTGCGCCCAGTTCATTTCGAACTTGTGTCTGACCGGGATGTAGTAAACTCGCCGCACACGAAAAGCGAAATGAGGACTTATTTTGATTCTGACAACAACGGCCAGAAGCTGAGAGATGAGGACGAAGAGGAGGCGCAGAGGCTTGAGGGCGAATTCACATCTAACATTTCCGTACAAACGGATAAAGGTATAATACTCTTGCATTTTCCTTCTATTTAACTCCGTGGATGAAGGCATGAAACGGTGAGCGTACAAATATCACTGAGAATATGAGGCTGACAATAGTATACACAAGACTCGAAGGAGGATGAATCAGCGGCGAAGACGAGGAGTCAACAGGGGTATGGACCTGGCTCCGGCGTCGGCGCTTAAGCGACACTAAGAAGGCGTGAATAACATAGCGTGATAGAGGCGGGGGTTTAAGGAGAAGTGGATGAGCTAGATGATGTGGAGTTGGGAGGTGTGGCCATATCGTCTGTACCTAGGGCCGGACTTCTCCGTGGTTTTTTGAGGCTTTCAAGAGTGACACCGTTGCCGAGTTTAGTGATACCGACAACAGGCGGGTCACCCTTCTTCACAAATTCCCAGAGACCTGTTTGCATATGAAAATTAGGATTCGCAATTCTTCCATAGCATGGGGTAAACCATACCGGGTAACTTGTGGCCTGCCAGTCGGAAAGCTTCCCTCGCAATCTTTTCGTGTATATCGCCCTTGAGCTCGAAGACGACTCTGCTGACGGCAACTCTTGCAGTCCAGTAGTCGAACTTTCCCTTACCCTTACCCATACGTTGCTCATTGCCCTTGGTGTATACACCAATGTTGGCACTGACACGCTTGTACAAGGTATAATTCATACCTCTAAGTCGTCGCTTGATTGTTTCCTCTGCAAGCTTGAGAGATGCAGCAGGTAGCCGGCGATCATGATCCTTCATCCGCAATCCGTAGTCACCCCAGACGACAGTTGTACCGCGAGAGGATCCGCCAGTAGGGACATGTGGTCGACCTTTCGGAGACTTCGACCTTTCCATGAACTTCGGTGTGAGCCAATCAAGAGCCGGCGAAGATGTCGAGAAGCATCGTGATAGTTGGAAGGTCGCAAAGGGTGACGATAGACCTATAGAGCCGATGTCAGTTTAAGGTGCGGAAGACGAAAAGTTTTATAAGAAACACCAGGAAGCCTCACAGGTAGGCCGGATAAAGGCCATTTGGGGACCCGCAAACATCTTCATTTGAGGACCCATTGCAACGAACGACCGGGCCCTTCTGTGTGAGTTGGACAGATTCAAGGGACCGCAGACTTTCTGGCTATCGGCATATCTGCGTATCCGATGTCTTCTGGATCCCAAAACGGCAGAGTGTGCTGCGCACGTGCCACGAGATTCCTGCTTATGTAACCAAATTAGATCACGTCGGCGAACCAGCTTGCAGGGCAGGCGCGTCATTCGCGTTTCCGAGGCTTGATTATCAGGTAGAAGTGAGAAGTCCGGGGTTGCCTGTTTGGGCCTACTTTATATTTTTACTACGCTTCTCACCTCCTCAGATTGCATGTCGTGCTCGGAATTGATACAGTGTCACAATGCCTACCGACATTAGGAACTTCTTTGGTGGCAAGTCCAGCCAGGGCTCTAGTGCGTCTCCAGCGAAACCGCCAGCAAAGAAAGAGGTAAGCTGATACCTTAAGTCAGAAATGACACTCGGATCCCATATAGTGAAATAAGAAGTGTTGCTGAGACTCAGTTCTTTGATTGCAGGATGCTTCAACCGCTAGAAAGAAACGTATGTTCGGCAATGGAACGATAATTTCGGGCCATATTTACTAAGCGACATAACAGGAAGCAGAAAGGTTGTCGATGACAGTGATGAAGAAGAGGAATTGAAACCCAAGTCACCTGCGCCAAAGTCAAGGGCAACGAGCACGCCGTATGTGAAAGACCGTTGCGCGCTGCTGGTGTATCACTAACAATTCTGAAGTAAACTAGCTGAGTCCCAAGGGCAGCCAACGACCACTTCAGACTATTTTGCATCGTCAAAAAGGAAACCAAAACCTGGAAAAAGCGAAGATGCAATGGAGACTAAGGATGCCCGGCCCTCTGATACTGCATCTCTCAATGGCCGTGACGCTGAGAACGCTCATGAAACGATGAATACAATGACCGTCGAGCAAGCACCCAGACAACGCTCCCGCAGGACAGCCAAGAAGAGCACCGTTGTTTTAGAAGACGACGATGGCTTAGGAGGCGATGACATTTTCGCGACAGACTATCGAAAACCAGGTAAATTCGACGACGACTACGTTGAAGAGGATGAGCACGGCGAAGATGATGACTTTGAGGAAATGGAAATCAAACCAGCCAGTGCGGCTTCCGGCAAATCATCGCGCAGAAAGAACGCTAGTACACCCGAGTCAGCCGACGTGGCCATGAAGGACGCACCCGCCGAACAGAAGAAAGCCTCGCGCACAGGCCAGAAACGAAAGTCTGAGGCCGTTGATCGGGATGAAGATTATGAGGATTCTAAAGTCTCGAAAGGTCCTACGCGCGTAAAAACAGCCGCATCGGCTCCCGCTGCTAAGAAGCAGAGAGCAGCGGCTACTAAAAAGGACGAGCCAGAGAGCAAGGAAATCCAGGATATATTCGACAGCATACCGACAATCAGACCGCCTTCCCCACCACCGCCATCGGGTGAGAAGGCGAAATTCAACTTTGCTGCTACGCAAAGATCGCGAGATCCTGTAGCAGGCGGGGCCGCAGAATTGCCTGTTGGCGCTGAAAACTGCCTGGCTGGATTATCCTTTGTCTTCACTGGTGTTCTTGATACCCTCGGTCGCGAAGAAGGTCAGAACTTGGTCAAAAAGTACGGTGGCAAAGTTACCACAGCACCTAGCTCAAAAACCAGCTATGTGGTTCTAGGAAGCGATGCTGGACCCAACAAACTAAAAAAAATTCAGGATCACAAATTGAAAACTATTAATGAGGAAGGGCTGTTTGAACTTATCCGGCGACTCCCCCCCAATGGTGGGGACTCAAAAGCAGCTGAGAAACATGCGGCGAAGAAGAAGGCCGAAGAGGACAAGATCAAAGCAATGGCTGCTGAAATCGAAGCAGAAGAGAAGCGGAAGCTTAAGGCTAAACAAACAATGACACCTAAAGCATCTGCAGGGTCTCAAGCTCCCTCGTCGTCTCAGGGCGCCAGGGTTGATGATCAGCTCTGGACGACGAAATATGCCCCGACGGCCATGAATATGATATGCGGCAACAAGGGTGCTGTTGAGAAGCTCCAAGCTTGGCTTCATAATTGGCACAAGAATGCCAAGTTCAACTTTTCAAGACCCGGAAAAGATGGGTCTGGGGTCTATCGCGCCGTGATGATCCATGGACCTCCTGGGATAGGGAAAACGACGGCAGCACATCTTGTAGCTAAGCTCGAAGGCTACGATGTTGTCGAAACGAACGCGAGTGATACAAGGAGTAAGAAGCTCGTAGAAAGCAGTCTTCTTGATATCTTAGACACAACCTCCCTGCAAGGTTATTTTTCCGGCGAGGGCAAGAAGATCGAAAGCTCGAAAAAGAATCTGGTTCTCATAATGGATGAAGTTGATGGAATGTCTGCCGGAGATCGAGGTGGCGTGGGCGCTTTGGTTTCCCTGGCGAAGAAAACCCACGTACCCTTGATTCTAATCTGCAACGAGCGAAGGTTGCCGAAAATGAAGCCCTTCGATCACGTCACTTATGAGCTGCCTTTCAGGCGTCCGACAGCCGAGCAAATCAGAGCCCGACTCTCGACTATCTGTTTCAGGGAAGGCTTAAAGATTCCACCTCCGGTATTGGATAGTCTCATCGCAGGAACCAACGCTGATATTCGGCAAGTCATCAACATGCTTTCCACTGTCAAATTAGACCAGCAGCATCTTGACTTTGACAAAGGAAAAGAAATGTCCAAAGCATGGCAGAAGCATGTGATCCTGAAGCCGTGGGACATAGTCAGCAAGATCTTAAATGCCCAGACCTTCGCTCCGAGCTCTAAAACCACTCTGGGTGACAAAATCGAGCTGTACTTCAATGATCACGAGTTCAGTTATCTGATGCTTCAAGAGAACTACCTGAGAACCAGGCCAACGCTAGCTGGCAATTACCAGGGCAAGGAACAGAAGTTGAAGCTGCTTGAATTGGCCGACAATGCAGCCTCTAGTATCAGTGATGGTGATCTCGTCGATAGGATGATTCATGGAACGCAGCAGCAATGGAGCCTTATGCCGACTCATGCTGTTTTCAGTTTCGTTCGCCCGGCAAGCTTCATTTACGGCAACATGGTGGAGCGTCCCGGATTTACCAGCTGGCTGGGGCAGAATAGTAAACAAGGTATGTCTGCGTGATGCAGTATTTCCTTTTCCTTACTAACATGGCATGTGCAGGAAAACTCTGGCGTTATGTTAAGGAAATTCAAGGTCATATGCGTCTCCGTGCTTCTGGTGACCGCGATGAGATCAGACAGCAATATATCCCGCTCCTCTGGAACAAGTCGGTTCGCAGATTGATGGATGAAGGCAAAGACAGCGTCGAAGATGTCATTGATTTTATGGACAGTTATTTCCTCACGCGAGATGACTGGGATGCTCTGGTTGAGCTTGGCCTGGGTCCTATGGACGAGTCCAACGTCAAGCTGGAAACACAAACAAAAGCCACCTTCACACGTTTGTATAACCAGCGATCACATCCACTACCATTCATGAAAGCCAGTAGTGTTGCGGCTCCGAAGAAGATGCCAAAGGAAAAGCCGGACATCGAAGATGCCATTGATGAATCGGATGAGGCAGAGGTCCTCGAGGATGACACACAGGATAACGATGAAAACGAAGAACTTGATCTGAAGAAAGACAAGTATGTCCGTGTGCCCAAGAAATCAGCTACGCAAAAAGGCGCGTCAGGCAAAGGTAAAAAGGGTAAAAAAGCGAACCCCGACGACGATTTCATCGACGATGACGAGAAACCTAAGAAAGGGAAAGGCCGAAAGACCAAGGCAAAGGCCTGAGATGTACCTATTTCGCTTTATGATGGCGCCGGGGATTTGTTGTCTACCTCTGTTGATGAGCTTCTGGCAAGATATTGAGTAAAAGAATTGTATATGACATGCGAAGGGGTTCTATATCACCACTGATTGTATCATATTTGAAGCCTGACTGTGATACACTGAATGACCTATTTATACTCTATTACGCAGTGATTAAGATACATCAGAAGAAACTGTCTGTCAGGTTGCTATACCACGTAGATAGGGTCCATACTTTAGACCTGATTTTGTGTGAAGGACCTAGGCTAGAGGTCATTGGCCGATCTGCGGAGTAGTATATGGTAATGTTTTGGGGAGCACCGCC